TAAGACTTATAACACGTTAAAGTCAAGTTTTAAAAATACGAAATTATCTATTGATACCTTTCGCTTTGTTCTGAAAACTGAATTACTTGAGAAGCGCATAATTTATTTATTCTTTTTTATTTTTATTTTTCACTATGATTTGTTCTTCATTAAAATATTTTGTTTACAATTTTAATTTATTTTTGTATTACACAATATTTTATTTTAATTATTAAGTTACCATGTTTTATTTTGTTTTTGTTTTTTCTACAAATAAAAATTCAGTATGTATAGTAGGGTTAAGTGGAAGAATGATCCATGATCAAACTTCGCCCTTTTGATGTATTACTTTTTATATCAAATAAAGTCGTTTTATTATTATTTATTATTATAAGTGATAAAATGAAATATAACACCACGGCAAATGTTATATTAAATTACGACAAATAAATAAAATAAATACTTACGGTAATAAAGCTCATTAATTTAGTAACCCAAGGTACTTTTGAGGTGTTGTATTCATGGAGAAAGTATTAAAAGAAAAATAATAAATACAGTAAATAAAAGGCAATAATTTACGTTTGAACTCAGGTCAAACACCTTTAAGGCTCTCGTTTATTTTTTATATAAATATCGCTCATAAAACCTTCAAAAATGAGGGATTATGGGAGAGAGTTGGCCTTGAACTATCTGATTGGTTAAAATAAACTAATAATTTGGTTACCTACTAGTAAAAATGTATTAGATTGGTACAATTATAGAGGAACAGGTCCGAATATGGGCTCCCATTTTGATTTTTACTATAACAGACTGATAATTAAATTAAATAAAAGTTCAACTATGCTAAAACATTATTAGTGGCTCTCACATTTGATTGCCAAAATAAATTTTTCAAAGATTGGTTGCAATTAATATTTATTTGTTATTAAACAAAATGATAGCTTGAATATGGACCCCCTAACATTTTTCAATAAACACTTACCTATTTTTATTGATTTATTTATTTATACAAAATATATTATCGTAAGTAATATCATAAGGGCATTTAATTTTTCCGAAAAAAATCGAAAAAACACGTTGCTAAGTAATATTTTAACAAAAAGCATGAGTGCTGGTGGCAACAAAAATCCGAGTCGAAGAGGAGGATTTTTGCACCTGCACGAATGGATTTTGTTAAAAAATATTACTTAGCATTGTGTTTTTTCGATTTTTTTCACAGGAAAAATTAGATGCCCGAATGGTATTTGACAAGACTATTTCATGAGTAACAGTAAACAATTAAAATATAAATTGCAATTTTTGTTGACAACAGCTGTCAAGTTTTGCCGCGGGTAAACTCGAAAAAACTGCTGACAGGTGCTGTCATACAGTTTTTCCACCTAAAAACCATTTGTAATTCAAAATTGCGCGTTTGTGATTGGTCGAAATTAAGACGAGGGAAATAGTCGCATAAAATACAAAAGATTAACATTTTATTACATAAAAAAACAAAAATTAAGGAACAATCTAGAAAATAAATCATTTTAATAAAAATAAATAGTCTATTGACAAAGATACCACACAGAAATTTACAGAAAACCGACAAAAGTCAATTTGGTTAAAAAGAATGTGGCCACACCATATACCTATAACTATAACTATAGGTATATGGGCCACACTGTAGTAATTACCTACTTTTATTCACAGGGGTCCTGAATGAGTCATAGGTCACATAAAAATGACGCCAAAAACTGAATGCGCTATCGGAATAAGGACCCTCTCTAGAGTTAAAAACATATTTTTCAAAATTGTAGTTGATCCTTTTTTTTAATTTTGGAAGTTAATTCAAATACCAACTGTAATTTAGTGACTTATTTAAGATTTTTTGCGATTTTTTTTAAAACTGAGCCCTTTAGGAAAAAATTTTAATATAAAGAATTAATGACGATAAAATTATCTATTAAATGATGCTTCGACAATCGCAACCATTGGCTTAGATATATTTTTTTTTAATTACAAAATGTTTAAAAACATGATGTTTTTGCACATCATTCGAAACCATATTTCACAAAAAAATGAAAGGACAACAGTAAATGGTTTATCTATTAAAAAATCTGTGTATTTAAGAAAAGCAGGACACTTAAATAAATACCTAAGTACCTAAGTACCTAAGTAATGTAATGTTCAGTTGAGGTATACGATTTTTAAACATTTAATATATTTTTTAAACTCACCGTAAGTTATAACCCAAATATAATTTTTAGCGGATGAAACGTATCGGCCTACTTGGAACTGTAAAGTGTATTTCAGTGGCGGCTGGTGACATATTAAATTGAGAGGGCAGAAATTTATATACATGCAAAAATTGGAATTAAATTAACACAAGTTATTATATAATCTACGGAATTTATCTACATTTTAAAAATAACAGAAAACAATAACACGCACCACGACAGGACGACCGTTAGGAGGTAACTTTACAAATAAATTAATTAAATATAATGTTTTTGAGTAGAATCGGGGGGACTCGGGAGGGCACTGCCCTGTTGCCCTCCCTGTAGCAGCCGCCCCTGGTGTATTGCCAAAATCTCTGCCACGTGGTAGAAACGGTTCTATTATGTGGAAGTGATTAAAATGGTGAACACTTTTTTAGTGTCAGTTTCGTTCCAACGTTTTTACAGACATGTTTATACCACGTTGTGATTACGTTAGTAGGTATAACGTGGATAACTGCACGTTATTGTAAAGTATACTTTTATAGATTATAATCAGTGGCTAAAACTTCATCGAAACTTTAATACTCTTTACTTTCTATCATCGTCTCTTTCCAGCATTTTGTTTATCTTATTATCTTTGCTTTCTATAAACTGACACTGAATACTAAAATTATCATAATGTAAGAATACAACTTGCAAATAATAACTAGAATTAATATATTCCGAAGACATAAAATTAACACCAATAAAATTGTACTGTCAAACATGGGTGTCATAGCTCAAAATATAAGCACTCCCCGTTGGTAATAAAAAAGAATATTAAAATTTGTAAACCTAGTTGATCTAAAAATTATTTATCCAGGTGTCTTAATTATCTATTAACGTGTTAATTTGGTACTAACCAAAAATATTTGTTTAAAACTAAACATTTATTTTTCTACAATGACGAACATCACTTAAGCATGTCCGGAAACGTTGCCAAAACTGGTATACCCACTTTACTACTACTACCACATAAATAATACTTGAGTGATGTGGTTTGGTTGCCGTTACTATTCATAATCCACTTTAAAGTTTAGACAACCTTATGATGGTCATAACATTTTAGATACCAGACTGATATACTAAAAAGTTATACAACTATGAAGAATATTCTGCTGGTGCAAATCACATGATTACAACCATGCTAATATAATATCAAGATATTTCCGCTGTATCGTTGTTAATTTAGTTATTTTAAGGTAATTGCCACTATAATGCTACTTGGGAATATTTGTTGCCAGTGTTCGTTTACTATTGTGCCTAATTTTAAGACCCTGAATTTGTATGTATTATTTAATAAAAATAAAATTGACCTTAAGATAGCTTGCCCCCTCCGCCGCACCCACAGCACGCTACTGCCTCCACTGTGATTTTCAATATCTTGGTAGATGACAGTAGATGCAATATATCCTAAAATTGAAAATTTTATCTAAATCAAGCTGACGAACTTACCTTGAAAATAAAAAAAAACGTGAAAACTCAAATAAAAATGATATTGTAATTCACAGACATTATGGTTTTTACAGTACAATTTACTTATCAACCCTTTTATTAATGTCTGCTGGCAAAAATACAAACACAAAAACAAAAAGTTTTTTTAAAATTTTCTTAAAATAAGGTTTTTTAAAACCAATTTACACTTTCACACTAAATTTAAAAAGAAATTGTATAAAACCTGTAATTCTTGAAATTTTTTAATAAAATTTGAAATTTTTCGATAAACTTCAGTGAATTAATTTGGGGGGGGGCAAGAGGCTGGGGGGCACACTTAAAAACTAACTTTTTTTCGCAAACTTCAATTTGAATTCTGCTTGCGCAGAACTAGTCTATACAGGGTGTTTCAAAAAACATGCGCCAACGCTCGGCTGGAGATTCATCATACAAAAATAAGAAAAAAAAGTCATATAAACGTGGGTCCAAAAATTTAAATTCTGCTTGCGCAGAACTTGTCTATATAGTGTCATTGTAAACTCATTTAATGTGGGTCCCATGTCTAATAACTGAGATATGGGTGTGCCCAAAATCCACCAGCCGCCAAAGTGTGCACACGAATTAAATACCTCGGGGAAAAAGCTGTTAGGTAAGTGAATATTGTTTGAAGAAAGATTTGTTTAATCCAATTTCAATCTTGAAATTTTTTTAAACTGTTTTTCCCAGTTAATAAATATTAGTTTTTAGGAAGAACTCTTAAAAAAAAGATTTTTAGATTAAAAAAAGCGTTAAATATTTCTTTTTCCAAAAAATAAATTTGTGACTTTACAACTCTTCCCACCGAGGTCCTTAATTATAAATAATTTTAACATCATGTAAAATAAAGAAATCCGCATGTTAAAATAAAAATATTTTTTAGGTGGTAAAACTTTAACTGTAAAAGCAGAATGCTGCACGGGTAGAGGGGACAGCCCTGGGTGCATCAAAAATATTATTGAAAACAAAAATATACAATTATTTATTTGAAGCAAACCTTTGATGTCAATGTTTGTAAACGCGACAAAAATTTAAATAGGAACTTGTGTTCAAAAAAGTTGTTTTATAATTAAACTAAGATCTTCTTCTTTGTATTTGCATAAAAAAAGAAAAAAATAATGTGATTTAGAAATGGAATATTTTCATATCTGCCGCCCTTCCCATCACCCCAGGCGCTCGCCCGCCCCTTCACACAGCACTGGGCAACGGGGTGCGCGCCCTCAGAACAACGAACGCTGGATGCAACGCGTTTGATCGATTCGACGCCGTGACGTAACGAAACGATGGTGGGGGACGCCAAAATGACGTCATCGTTCCTTCCGAACCTCTGTTTCTAAATGCCGGAGCGATATCCACGGTGCTGCTATCGCTTCTTCTTTTTCGATACGGGAGTCAGTGGTCGAAAGCAGTGATTGTGTGTGAATTGACGTTTTTGAATTAAATAGTTGGCGTTAAGATGTTGGAATATGAAACGAGGATTCAAACTGCAATTGTCCTGTTAGGATTTATTGTAGTCCTATGTGAGTATGTTTGCCTTTGTTAGGGTAGAAAGCTTTTTATCCGGACGAAAAAAAATCTACATAGTTTATTTTTTCTCCGAAAATTTGTGTTATGTAACAGTCTTAAGGGGGTAGTAGGTGTGCAGCTAGGTTACGTTATCGACTTTTATTAATCGATTTAACCTAAAACTTCTATGGGTTGAATCAGGTAGACTAGGTATTTCTGAATTCTAAATTTGGTTTTGTTTATAAATTTAAAGTTCATGCATAGGACTTGTTAATTTGATATAATTGTTAAGCTAAATTTTACTGGTAGTAGTAATTTGGTCCCAAAAGACGCCATGGCGCCAAATATGCAAATAATATTCCTTGGATTGCTTAATTGATATTAATATTTATTTATTTAGGTACCTACAATTTTAATAAAATTTTTAACAAATTTAATATTTTTAATTTAAATTTTTTACTCAATTAAGATATTTTAAGAAACTTGGTATATGCACTATGCATATTATCATTGTTAGATTTTGTAGTCTTTCAGTCTTTTTTGAGTTTGAGTATGAGTATGAGTATGAATATAAGAACGTATGGCAGGCCCCATCGGCAATGCCTTATACTGATCTTCCAGGATTATTTTACCCCCTTTCGGTAAGATATACAGGGTGTTTCATAATATATGCGCAGGACTTCAGGATGTGATAGCTTATCCAAAAAGATGAAAAAAGTCGCTATTAACTTACCCTCTAAAATGCACAATTTTCGAGATACAGGGTGTTGACATTTTAGAAAAAAAATCGTTTTTTTCGAATATCTCCGGAACCGTTTATCGTACAAAAAACAGCTTTTGTAAGCATTTTCTACTCAAAATAAGCTACTTTTTTCATCTTTTTGGATGAGCTATCACATCCTGAAGTCCTGCGCATATATTATGAAACACCCTGTATAAAAAATTTAAAGTCACCATTTTATTATTTTTAATACATATATAAGATATGCCTTTTAAGTTACCTTTAAAGTACTTTGATTTTATAAAATATTTATCTTACCAAAAATGCTTTTCTATTAATATTGAGTACTTTTTAAAACCAATTTTACCCCAAGTTTTGCAAGTTTTAAGATGAACATACCTATAATAAATATTGTCATTTGACCCATTATTTTCATTAATATCATGTTTAGTTTCTTACCTATGTGTACGCTGCTTAATACCAGCCTTGCTAAACTTTTTCCATGATTGTTGGTGATCTTTCACATCAAAAATTTCAGAACAAAACGAAGAAATCCATTCACAGGCTGTCCTCTTTAATACAGCAAAACATATTTTTTTTCTTATTTTTATTTATATTCATGACGCTGCATTTCTCTGAATATACAAATGTTACTTATTTTAAATTAATCCTTGAAATATTAACACCCAATGTGATATGCAAATTTAATGTCATCTATTGGCAAAGTCGGCGAAATGTTTTTATAGTATTTTGACTCTAATGGAATCTCTATATGTGAGAAAACAAACCTTAGGTCCAAAAATTAACCTTTTCAGGAGAGGCGATTGGAGATCGCGCAACATAGGCGCTCGACTTTGGAAATTCGAAGCATTGAGACATTGACAAATCAAATCGAAAGATCGTGTACCAATCTACCTCATAAACATCATAATCTCAAAAATCTTTTTCATTAACTTTTTTTCTTATTTTTGGATGACGAATGTTCTTTGAAACACCATGTATGATACAATATTTTTATGTTTTCTTTCCTATTGTAATTTTTAATAAAATTAAAAGGGATTTACTGATATTGCTAATATATTTGTTATAACAACAATAATAATTAATTAATTAACCTTTTTTGGTATTTTTTAATAATAAATTAATTTTGAGCTCTTTATAAAAAAAAAACATAGTTTAAACTCACATGAAAAATTAGTTTATATAAATTATATTAACAAAAAAACATAAATTATATTAACAAAAAAACATAGATTTTTAATATTTCTTTACTTGATTAGTTTAATAAAATATAAAACTTAAAGTAGGTAGATAAATATAGGTATTGATTAAATAACTACATTAAAAGGATTGCTTTTTAAAATAGCAAACACGTGTACATGAATTTCATGTGATTCCTCTTTTAATTAAAATATAATATATACAAAAAAGATTGTTTTCAATGCTCAATTATTGATTTAAACTTCCAGTTTGGATTTTAAACTTTATTTTGGTTGTGGATAAATTTAAAATAATTGGGTTAAACAAATTGAACTACTTTAATTACATATTTTCGTTGTTCGTTATTTAAATAATAAATAATAAAATATTATAAATTATTATATATATATTATATTTTTATTGATTACAAAGGTCGTTGGCTTTATAAAGTTTGTATTAGATTTGTGATGTAAATAAATAAAATCCATAGCCATAAGCATAATGATTATTAAAAATGATTGATTGTTTCAGAAAACTTTGTTGGCGAAATTTGACCCACTAGTGGGCGAAATAGCATTTCGAATAAAATTTTGTGTGCGGCTATTGGCCAAAAGAGAAGATTCCACTCGCCTGTTACCTTACTCACTACGCTCGTGCAGCAAACTTCACGCTCAAGGAATCTTCTCTTTCTCCCAATAGTCGCACAATATACTTTAACACCCATTTCATTTCTTAACTTTACCTGGTGGGCGAAATTTTACTTTTCCCACGGGCTGAAGTTGACTTTAAGTTTTAAGTGAGGTTAAAACTGCTTGACAGCTGTTAGATGTCAGATAAAATATCAAATAATTTGTATTTAAATTCTTTGTGGCAGTTGGATAAAATTTTGTGTGCAACTATAATAATAATAATAATAATAATATCTTTATTCATCCAGTAGATTAGATCACGATATAGGACAAGTCAACAACAAAAAATTACATTATATTACCTAAACCATTAAGAAAATACAACATACAATGAAACTTAACTAAATACAGAAAGTACAATATTTTTTAACCAGTTAAATATGACACTGCAAATAATCATTTACACAATAAGAATTTTTGTAATTTGACATAAATAATTTGAAGTTGGTAAGTCTTTAATCAATAATGGAAGTTTATTATATAATACAGATCCAATATAAAAAGGATTAGATTTATACAGCTCCATTCTGTGCAAAGCAAATTGTAATTCGTTACCTCTGCGTGTACCATAATTGTGGTGTACATTTTCAAACTCAAACTTATTTAAATTTAATTTAACAAACTCAAGCATTTCAAAAATACACAATGATGGAAACGTTAGTATTTTTTGCCTTATAAACATATTTTTGCACGAGTCTCTCATTTTCAAACCGAACATACATCGTATCGCCCGTTTCCCCACAATATGATAGAATAACGCATTATGGATTCTATATTAGAGTTATAGAACATTTTTACCACTTTGCATTAGAAATATTTTGTAACCTTTTAAGAGCATAGCATGAACTACTACACTTAGTACATATCAGATTAACTTGCTCCTTTCAATTTAGTGACATATCAATATTAACACCTAACAATTTTGTGAATGAAACTTGTTTAATTGTTTAATTTAATAAGTGGATTTTTAATGTAATATGTACCATATGGATGAAATTCAATATTAAAAGTTTTTTCCTGGTTTAAAGATAACCCATTTTTTAGAAATTAATTAAAAATATGATTCATATTTAAATGAAGTTTATTGGACATTTCTAATTCATTATTGGCAATTGAAATAATCGTAAAATCATCAGCAAATGAACAGTGATATATATTCAATTCATGTTGCAAGTCATTACTGTATAATAAAAATAAAAGAGGTCCTAACACACTTCCTTGAGGGACTCCTATATCAACATTACAAACGTCTGATTTTTCGTCCTCAAAAAGAACAAATTGCTTTTTGTTTGACAAATAGGATTTTAATAATTTATTACACTGGCCACGCAAACCATAACATTCAATTTTTTTAAGTAGAATTTCATGATTGACGCAATCGAATGCTTTTGAAAGATCGACAAATGAAGCCATAACTTTAAATTTGTCATTAAGGTTTATAAATATAATCAACAATATTTGTTGTGTGGATCAATTTTTAGGAAAACCATGCTGATTTTTCGATAATATATTGTGAATATCCAAAAATTGAAAAAGATATCTTTGCTTGTGCTAGTCAATCTTGGCATAGAAAAATTAATTTGTGAAAGCTAATTTGGGAATTAAGTAACTAAACAAAAAGCAAATAGATGAACTAACACCACCCTTTTCTAAAGATTTAAATCCAAACGTCGTCAAAAGCAAATCATGATTAAATCCCTGGGTTGGATATTTAATATTTTTAAAAAGTTTAAAACAAATAGGTTTATTACTTTGTTTAAATTTTTTGTGAGAGTTTAATTTTTTATTTATGTTAAATGTTATATTAAAACTGTTATGGCATGTGCAACTGAAAAGTGTTATATAGTGTTTTGTAAAAGTAATCAAAAGCAGAATCAACGTTATTTACGAGGGGTAAACCACTGATTTTTAAAAATTAAAAATCATATACGAATTAACGGCTAAGGAAAACAATCTCATAGTAGTAGTCATGCGCAACGCGTCGCTAAGAGAAGTTTCTTATTGATAAAGATTTTTCCTTATTGATAACGACTGATAAGAAAAAAGTCAGAACACAACGTCCATATAACGTTAAAAGTTGGTCTCTCTGATTTTAAAGTGGTTTACCCCTTGGTTATTTATATGTGTGCCTAAATTGCTTACCAGTATCATTCATAAGAAAAATAATTGTTTGGGGTATTGTAAATATAAAGTACAAAATAGGCTGTTTTTAATTTGTATAGTTTTAATACACTTAAGGTTTTTTTCATGCACTTGTGCTTACCTACCTTAAAAACCACCGAATAGGGACAAAATTGTATATCCAGAGGAAAAATACACTGGTATTTAAATATATAGAAATATTCAAAAGATGGATTGGATGATTAAAGATTAAAATTTTTGAAGTAAACCTGTGCCACAGTGT